TTTAATACCTTCTTCAGTAGTTGTCATTAAGCTTCCATAAACTTTTTTCAGCAGCTAGAGTAAGACAGGACAGAAAAGAACAGCACATCACTGAGGGATATTTATGATATCATCATTTAGAATTTACTGCTAACACCGTTGAATTACATGTTACATGTATATAAAACATTTCATAATAATATTTAGTATTTATATGGCGCAAATTAACATATGAATATGATCAAATGCGCCTTACAATAAAAGATATGCTATGATTATGAGTAATTTAAAACTAAACTAAAAATTTTTACAATTATGTATAGGACTATAAAGTAAAAAAGCTAAAATCGGGCCCTAGTAAAAATGTGTATAAAATATCAAGAGCTATTCATACGCCTTTCTAAATAAAAAATGTCTTCAATTTGGACTTAAAACGGTTAAAATTGTCCTCCTCTCTTATTGTACTCGGCAATTGTTCCAAAGTGATGGTGCAGCAGCAGTAAAAAGCCTGTCACCAAGTGTCTTCTTCGTTTTCGTGGACGGTGGTATTAACAGAAGTTCAGATTGGAGCGAAGACCATACATGGAAGGATTCTTAACATGAATAAGGTCACTAATGTAGTTCGGTGCTTGGCCATGTATGGCCTTAAAAGTAATTATTAAAATCTTAAAATCAATTCTGAATCTAACAGGTAACCAATGTAAAGAAAATAAACACAGGAGTTACATGACTAAAACGCGGAGTTGAGCAAATTAGCCTAGCAGCTGCGTTTTGCACGCGTTGCAGCTTATTGATATGAGTGGTCGGTAAACCATAGAGAAGACTGTTACAGTAATCGATGCGTCCCATTATGAAGGCATGCACTAGCACCTTGGTAGACTCGGTCGTACATGTACATGTATATAAACACATTTCTCAATAAAAGCAAGAACTGATTCCAAGACCGAGTAATTTTAATTTAGTTGTAATTTTTAAGTGATCTGCAACAAATAAATTGACATTGATCTCCAAGTGTCAATAATTATTTATTGCGCATACACTCTACCTGTACAATGTACATGTTGGTTTTTTTGTAGTTAGAAAAAGAAAATGAACACACAATCACATGCTTACCTCATCGGCTCCATACTTTTGTAAATCAGCGTAGAATTTCATGGAAATGCTAAGCTGCACGGGGAGAAAGCAGATGATATATAAAATGACTCAACTAACTACATTTCTAACTAACTACATTTCTAACTAACTACACTCAACCAGTACATCACAGAAAATGTGCGGTTCCAGAAAGTATCCATACCCAACCCAAGGAAGGTCATTAGAAATTCCAAAGGGGAGGGGGTCTCAAAATGCAAAACTTTTAAAGGAAAGTATGAAGCCTAAAACTGGAATTTCCAGGGGGATGGGGGAGGGGGGTTCAAACCAAAAACCTTTCTGGAGCCCACACCAATCAGTGGTTAACATCTCACCCTCAACTTGGATTTCTTCTCCGTCAGGGTTAGAAAATATGGAAACTGTACTCCATCAAAATTCTGAAGGTGAACATCAACCTAGTTAGCAGGCGTAATGGGTTTAATTTACCCAACCTAGTGACCTGGGTACTAGCACGTTGCTCTCGTTTAGTTTAGTCTTTTCATCATTGTTATGAGCATTAAACCACGCCATATGTTCTTGTTATGAAATGGATGAAACTCCTATCTACTAGTCAAATGTGAAAGAATGCCTAGGAATTTTTGAAAGCCCTTTCTCGAGTAGTTGGCACAAGGGTAACGTTTAATTGAACATTGACTTGTTTTAGCTTATATATGTAGTTTAATCTTTGTTGAGCGGTACTTGACAAGTTTCCTTGTTCAAAAACTGGCCACGCCAGTTTTGTGAACTAAGCAGGCTGTCAAGGAAACATTGCAATATTTTGAGTACAAATCAGTAAAATAGAACTCTGCTGTCAACAACCTGAAAACTTATCAAGGCCAAAACTTGTTCATGTGTAAATAGGCTTTTAATAAGACTGTTTCAAGTTAACAAAAACTTGCCAAAAAAATTTCCTTTTACGTTATAAAAGTTTCCATGATGAAACCACAAGTGACAGCTTATTTCAAAACCCTGTGTAAAATTAATTTATGTCACTGATCTTACATGTAGTTTAACTAAATTTAAGGCTTAACTGGTGTGAACAGAGGCAGTTTGATTATTATAGTACAATGAGACCATTTTAAGCCTGCAATCGAACGGACTTTAAAGACTAGAAGAAACACACCTCGCCTATTGTTTATATCCACCAGAACTCAAATTTCCCCCTGTAGAAAGCAAAATTACATTTCGGTTGAACAAAAATGTTGAAAACAATTGCAGCAAATGTGCTACACACCTCCCAAACGAAAACAAAATATTCAGCCAAACCACGGCAGGAATTAAGCCCCCTAAAACAACGACCTTACCCGTGAACTTGGCTCTCAATGTTTCTTGCTATAATCCTGTTTGTTGATCTCTAAACAGGAATCATCTTGGAAAAAGAAAATCGAAGCTTCTTTCCGGAAACACACACAAGTTATTTGACGGGATCCAAGATGGCGGCAGGGAGACTCCTTCTAGTCACGTGATATTCGACTTGCTTCCGTGCTGGCCCCAGATTTCCCGACGGCCAGTCGCCAATTAGATCCCGTAAAAATAAAATTCCTGCGAAAAAAAATTCCGCGAAAAATTTACTAATATTTATTAGAGCCCCGCTGCGATTTCAATTAATTGACTTGCCTGAAATTGATTATTATAACTTTACCGTAGGTTTAAAATACCTTTCAGGAAAACTGCCCGAGATCCGCACGACAAGTTTGCTTCCAAGCCGTAAAGTTAGGCCTGCGAGCAAGCCTCTCTGTGCGTTTTTGGCGCGGTGTGGCTACGGTAAAGTCTGAAATCCAAATTCGCGAAAAAATTTGTCTCCCGTCGGAAAACGCAAAAAGTCGGGCAATTCGCGAAAATTAAACTCCCGCGAAAATTTCATGCCACATGGTAGTTGGAAGTATGCGGCCATTTATTTCACAAAAGGAGTTGGTGGACGCGGGGTGAAGGGACCTTTTCTCAGGTGAGAGACAAAGATTTCTCGGGCCCTTCATGCTTTAGTGTCTCAACAAGAGAGTAAAATCCGCCACTGGAAAAAATGAAAACGTGACTGCACTCTTTCTTGCACACTCCTTAAAGCCCTTCCCAACTCGCACGCGCCTCCGAGCTGAGACCCGCGCGCTTCGCGCTCGGTTTTTCACCTTCGGCGTTAAAAAAACATATGGGCCGATTATTTTAACGCGAAGTCTAAGTCTAGACCTGGTTTAAGGCTAAATCGAGGTTTAGACAAGGCTTCCATTAGACCACGGCTAAGGCTGAGTCTAACATTTGCGTCTATGGCAGGGAAGTGCTGGCTTTCCTTCTATACCTACAATACTCGGAGGCCCAGGGGCTAAACATGTAGAAGTAGGGATGACCGAAAAGAGCGTTATCCAAGTTATTTTAAGGTAATTCCCTGGTATAGAACCAAACATAGATTTCCGATGAAACTTGGTACACTTTTTGTAACAAGTCAAGGAGATAATAAAAAACGTGATAAGAAAAGAGGAGGTCACCGTGCTCGTTTCCCACGCAAAATGCTGACGAGTGCGGTCATTTTGGCCCCTTTTGGGCCCCCCCCCCCCCCCAAAAACCGTGCCGCAGGTCAAATAAGGCTCGATGTTTTTCAATGCAGCCGTGATATCGCCACAGAGTTTTGACTTTATTGCAATTGTTTATTCACCGACGTTCCAGAAAAATGTCTTCACGATTTCCTTTGTAGTTTAACTTTACACTCCAAAGTAGATTCAAATTGTGATATTGCGCTGTGGGGACCGTAGTGGACTCCCTCCGCGAGAATTTAGTTAAATTGCCAAAAAAACTAGATCATAGATTTCTGACCCCATCTTTTTCTCTGTGTATATGTAGATACTGTTCTTATTAAAATTATGAAATAAAAAATGGGGGTCACCGTGCTTGTTAGAAGAAAACGACCATTTATTTCCCAGCCAAGCTTTGTCTGAAAGAAATCCTGTAATGTTCTGTATGTGCGCGCGCTCGTACTCGCGCTAAATGACGCGTGGCGCGCGCAAATGACGCAATAAATTATGCGCAGTAAGGATGCGCAATGCAATACCAAGGAATCACCTTAACACGACTGTGTACACCAAACTAGCAAACGTTAAAATTACACAAAGAATTTACAGAGATGAAGAACAAACAAAATACGATAAACATAGACAAGACACGAAACATAAACAAAGAACAATTACAACACAACACAAATATTTGTTCACTAATTTATTAAATATTACAAATATTACAAATATTGCCCAGCAAATAAAATAATCCACAATTCATGTGAAAATGAAAACACCATTGAAGGAGATAACAATTCCGGAATGGGTAATCACCAGTGACGTCATGAAATTTCGCGCCAAATCCCAAATCGAGTAAGCGGGAAGGGAACGCCTGGGTACTAGGCTGGGTAATCACAATATGACATGACCTAGAGAACGTTTCTCATTAATTTTTATTACTAATTTCATTCAAAACAAAAGTGCTCAGAAATCTTCCGTGTAAATGCAATACGGTTCTTAGCCTTAAGCGTTTTTATTGCCGCGAGGCAGCAAATACTTTCAATCGGCGGTAGAATTGTTTCTATTCCTGTCAGTTCGTCCGTTGGCCTGTCGCTTGTTCCCAGTTAGCCCGCAGAGGCATCAGAACTGTAGAGCCCTGGACTCGATGTGGCACAAGTGGATGATTGACACCGCAGTTTTTTTTTTAACCAATCAGAACTCGTCAGCTTGTTGTTCAGTTCCTTCTCCTTTCCTAACAGTGTCGACGGTTACGCTTGTATGCATCATATTCCTATCAAGTAAAAAAAAATCATGTCACTGTATAGTCAACATGTAAATTTTTGTTAGGCGGATGATGAAAAAATGAAATAGGATCATATATGGAAGAACTGTGGTGGAATGAAACGAAAAAGGAATGAGATTCGAACCCATGACCTTTTGCGATTCCGATACAAACGCTCTACCACTGAGCTACCGTAGAATTACCAAAGTAACGCGATCCCTTCAAAAACGTTACGCACTCAAAAACAATAAAATCTATTGTAGAAGTGGCGGTAGGGACAGTACATAATCAATAACAGCTTAGGCAGTGAATTGAATACCGTAATTGAAGCAATAAGTCTCCTACTTAATTTACAGCGAATACCAAACAACCGTCTCCTATTTTAATGAATAACAATGAAATACACTAGAACGTGACAAAATATGTTACGCGTCCTCTTTGCGTAAAACGGCTGCTGAATTACAAACGTTTTTTAACCATCCGAAAGTATCGGCCTCTTTGGCCTGCTAAATCCTGAAAGTAACAGGGGCCGTTTAATACTTTCTGGAATTTTACGATATCAAGTCCACGGGGAGTTTGGTCCAGCGCCACTGAGGTGGAAATGGCACGCGGCTGAAAAATAAAAAAGAGTTCAGTTAAACTAACGCACCTTTGCACTCTCTCGCTGCCTCCTCTCTGAATCATCAGGCTGTTTCTTGAGTCTTACACCCTGAGCATTTAACTGACAGTGTTCGTAACTCAGATCTGGAAAGGATAAAACACCCTTTTAACGACGATGGAAGGAAGGAAGCGGAAAAAAAAAATTCAAAAAGTGGTCAAAACGTCCAAAAGATCTCGAACATTTATCAAACATCGCACGATCTTTTGTCGATGTGGCGCACATCAGCGTCGAAAGCCCTGGCCAAATTGAGTCGCAAGTGGTCCCGCATCATCCTTTTGAAATAATGAAACAGAGTCGCAAGTTTACAACACAACTGCACGCAAGTTGCAAAATCCATTTGAATGCTCCTGCGCGCGCTGGTGATTGTCAGTACTTTGCAGAGTAAACAATCAAAACTTTGCGTCGAATTGCGTTGGGTCGCCAAACAGGAAAACTTGCGTCTACTTGCTTGTGCAGAATTTTATCTTGTTCAAAGTGAACGCAAGTCGTCGCAAGTCCGCTTCGACTTGTGACTCAGTTTTGGCGAGCACTAGAACGGCCCGTTTCAGGAAATTATACAAGTATCATTTTTTGGTCAAATCCTGTATCAGCCCAGCCACGTTTAATCCACCGAGCAGTTTGCTAAGGCAACATGACGTATCTTTATCCTTATTGCGCCCAGCTGACGTCAGAACTTTTGGAGTACTACATTTGTAAAATAAGAATCGGCAATCTTCCACGATAAGTACTTACACGAATTTATCCTCTCGTCTCTTTCATTGAGTGTTCAGTCTTCTATCTTCTAATTTCTAAGGAACAGATTTCCTTTGATTTCTCTTTGTTTTGTCCTGCAAAATGAAATAAAAATAAAGAATAAGAAGAATGGCGGAGAAGAGTGTCAATACATTAATTATTTTAATTACAGTAATAAAAAGTACTGAGGTAAAGAAAGAAACTTGGTTAAAAGTCTGTCCTTCAAGCCACGATGGCTGTGATTCTAACGCACTATTAAAAATAATAGGGGGGGACTCCAGTATAACATGACGGGGGTGAATCATTGTACAATTTTTATTTTTAGGGTGAAATTTTGTGGTTTGGTTAAAAAAACGCAACAATACAGATTATTCTTAATTCCAATTCCGATCTGGAATCCGAGGGGCCACAAGGTTTGCATGCCGGATTTGTCAGTTGTCAGTGCAAGACTGTTAAGTGATATCCCTCGTTAAACAAAGTCTTAAGGAGATTGAATGTTAAGGATGTTTAAAATCTAAAAATTGAACGCCGTTTAGAGTAATCCTGTGGTCATCATTTTTTGGGTACTGCAGCAACAAAAATGAATTCAAGCCACACCCACAAACATGACCATTCTGTTACTTGTTTAGGGGTTTCTTTCACTGTTATATGCCTGGAGATGTCCCCTGGGCACTGATGGCCAGCCCACAAGCAACACTGTCTTTCACCTCCTATGAGCTTTTCCTCTCTCCAAACATGTGCCCAGTTTTGCAAACTCGTCCCTCTCTCTTTCGCGTCAATGCCGATGGCACTGCGTTGTGCTTTGAATTTTACGTCTATCTTTTTTCAGAATTAGACATTTTTAAACTTTTCATTCACGATCTCCTGCCGTTGCTCTGAAGACCTCCCAGAAAAAAATTTCACAAAAATTAATGCACTCATAAAGATGGAGAGGGAAGTTCATTAGACTATACATGAGAGGATCAATCAAAATTTTCTCAGAACAAACCCTTCTGCCTCTTGGTGTAAATGATGTAATTTCATTTTGAAGTTTCTCAGCTTGTTCATGGCGAGTTCTTCTTCCAGAGAGAGAGCATTTTCCAATGCTATCCTAAAGAACCAGACATTAGTTTTGGATCAAGTGAAGAAGTGTTCTGCACAACATTAATAGTTCAACAACAACTACATTATTTGAAACTTGGTGTCTGGTGTCTTGTTGTGCATCATGCATGCAAACTATTTGAAATCCAAATTATTAGTAAATTATTGGTACATAACTTATTTGATTGCCCAATCACTATTTTATTCTTTAGGAGTTGCACAAGAAGAGTAGTCAGTGCAGTATTGACTAAGCTAGTTTTTCCATAGCCTGCGGCGACTGCAGGCTCTGCCGATTAAGCCGGAGCGCGATCGTGTGAATCTTAGTATTGGCAGAACGCTCATCGCGATCTTGAGTATTGCGTGAAGCACAGGGCGAGCGCTAGAATCCTCGTCCCACAGTGTGGTATGCCCTCGCAGCTGCCGACAGAGCTCGTTGGCGACAGCCCTCTGCCACTCCGCAAGCTCGCTCGTACGCATATAGTAAATGGATCACGCCTCGGCGCTCCGCGCTCCGCGCTCATCACGCTTTATGAGAGCCTGCAATGGAAGGTTTTTTTGGTTTACAATCCCCACGCCCTCTGAAAATTCCGAGTTTAGCTTCATACTATGTTCCTTTACAAAATTTTGGCGAATGACCTTTCTTGGGTGGGTATGGATATTTTCTGTGAAGTCCTTGAAATTTTCTGGGAGTGGGGGGGGGGGGGGGGGGGGGGGGGGGGGGGGGGGGGCGGGGGGGGGGGGGGGGGGGGGGGCGCTACCCAAGCCGTAAAACATTTTTAGGGAAGTATTTTCTTGGGTTGTTATGTGATATTTTTTCTGGAAGGTCATTGTGTGAAATTTTGTGGGGAAGTGTTGGGGGGGGGGGGGGGTGGGCACTCAAAACAAGAAATTATTAAGGGAAGTAATTAAACGGAATTAAACTGAGAATGCGGGTGGATTCAAACCAGATGGGGGCTGTGAATTCAACCAATTTTGTCTTTAATGTTAGAAGCTTTATAGGGCGAAGGAACAACCTTCCTTCAGTGCGGGTGTATGGATATTTTTCTGGAACAAAACAATGTAATAAATTGTGACTAAATCCAACCTTTCCTTTGTCTTGGCAGCTTGGTATTTCTCTTGGAGGCTTTTCACCTCATCTCTAAGTTGCTTAATTTGTGAATCACGCTCTTGTATAAGGCTACCGAAAAGTCCTTCATTTTCCTTCCTAAGACGACTGTTTTCAATCCGCAGTGTTTCATTCTCTGTTTTATATTCATCTTTTATTTTAATTAGTTCCTCATGGTTCTGATTGAGTACAAAGAATCGTTTTTCCAAAACAGCGTATTTCTTGTTTCATTGTGCAAAGCAGACAAGATTTCGTCCCTGTGTTTTTTGAGTTCACTATTTTCTTCTTCCAAAGTTGTGGACTTTTTAAGAGATTCATCTGCACGTTGTTTCAGAATGCAAATCAGTTCGCATTGTTGATCTATGCGTGAGCGCAGGAGTGCATTTTCTGATAAATCATCCTTTGACAAAGCTCTTAGTTTTTTCAAGATTTGCTTTCATTTCCTCTGGAAAATCCACACTTTCAAACTGAAAATGAAGAAAATAATAAATAATATTAATAATTTATTATTATAGCTGAACTGTGGGAGACACAGCAGCCTACATATATTATGGTTATTGTTAGAACGTGGGGTCATCTTGAGTGGTCTGGGTTTGAGTTGACAAACGTGGGACTACAGAGAGCAAATCCAGCTAGACATGGCAGGGTGGAGGGCTTGAACCCGGGACCTCTTGATTACATATGACCAGCGCCCTAAACCACTCACCAGGAGTTAGCCCCCTGGGATTTTATTATACATGTGTGAAGTATTATAGCCAGCCGTCTCCTCGCCCCAACCCAATCCACGAGGGGCCAGGTGAGGTCTCTCTTGCCTGGCCCCTCAGGAGGGGGGAGGGGGGTTGGGGTGAGGAGATGGCTGACACTTCATTAGGTATATTTATACTGACGCAAATAGCACAACTAATTTACGGATTACACTGTTCCCTTAAGATAATGCTACATTTGTATAAATCATAAATTTTAGCCAGGAATGAATGAAGATATCATTCATTAGTGGCTGGTACCTGCATAAATTGATTGGTGGAAAAGCATCAACACCCCAGTTAAAGTCGTCATAATATGATGGGTGATTTAAAGTGCTAATGAATCGGCAAGAATTCTACAATTCCTTCTGAATATATAAATGGCTACTGGTACTTTATAAGTTATGCCAGATGGACTTTTGTCGGGCAGAAAAACACCTGTTCATTAGCGGAGATTAAAATAACTTATTAATTGTATATACACCTTGCATAAAGTATTGTACAAATTTAAAGAAAAAGATATTTTTTATTACAGGCAACCAAAATTTTAATTTTACACTGCAACATTAATAGCCCAGAATTGTCTAGTATGGATCTACAAACTATACTCCAAATTTGAACCGACAACTAACATTAATTTTATAAATTAATGCGCTATTCATAATAATTCATCCACTAGTTTCTTTAGCGCTGAATTTCATATTATGCGAAGAAAACATTTGAAAGTACAAGAAACTGACGTAATAGTATGCCGGTTAAACATAACTTACTTGATGTCACCTAAATTAAAGCTTAAAAAATGTAATTTGATTTCCCTACCTTGCTGGAATTAACTACTTCCCGAAGTTTTCTGGGAGACCTTCCTCCTGATC